GAGTAACGCACAAGGAGTTCAAATGGCACATGGTAGCTAACCAGCTCGTGACCGTAGCCGAATTCCTCAAGCTCGTGGATAAGTTCATGAGAACAGAGGAAGAGATCAACCAAAGGACCAAAATCAGGATCGAGAAAAGAAATAGGAGAGGCGTGCCCTCCAACCCTGTCGACAGAAGAAAAAACCCGGCCCAGGAGCCGAAGCCGAGCCAGCCGTTCCGAGCTCCCTTAGCAGTTTGGACGGACTACACACCGTTAAACACGAGGCGGACCGAGATCTTGATGACAATCAAAGACGCCCCATACGTAAAGTGGCCACCTCGCCTAAAGGGGAACCCAAACGAGAGAAATAAAAACTTGTACTGTAGTTTCCATAGAGATCACGGTCATAGTACCGAACAATATAATAATCTCCGGGACGAGATAGAGGAACTCATCCATTGTGGATATTTGAGAAATTTTGTACAGCATAACAATAATAATAACAATAAGGCAAGTCGTTAAGGGGAGCATGGAAGGGATGCCCCCAAATCCAGCAGCAGGCCAGCCGAACCGTTGCAATGACAGCCTTCGGAAGAGAGGCCAGTTCTGGGAACCATCCATGTGATAGTGGGAGGTTCGGTGGTAGCAGGTTGTACCTCGGCAGCGGCCCGGACGTCAGTTCGCGAAGCAGTCCGAGAAGAACAGAACCCTCCAAAGAGGCCGAAGACTAAAGAACTGATCTTCTTCACGGAAGATGATGCGCGAGGGGTCCACTACCCCCACGATGACGCGCTTGTCATAAAACTAAGGATCAACGACTTCGAGGTCAGGCGCGTACTTATGGATTCGGGCAACTCGGAAGACATCCTCTTCAAGTCGGCGTTTGACACGCTGCAGTTGCAGAAAAGCGAGTTGAAGCCCGCGAACACTCCTCTGGTGGGCTTCAGCGGAGAGGAAGTCAGGCCCCTCGGGAAAATAACAGTACTTGTGGAAGTCGGCACATGGCCTTGTGCGGTCAAACTCAACCATGATTTCCTGGTGATCGCGACCCCCTCCCCATACAATGCCATAATAGGGCGGCCAATTACGCATATCCTACGGGCAGTGGTCTCCACCTATTATTTGGCAATGAAGTTCCCTACAGACTTCGGTGTGGGGGTGGCGCGAGGCGACCAGATTGAGTCCCGCAAGTGTTATCTTGCCGCCCTGAAGGGAAAAACCAAGGTGGCCGACGACCTCGAACTGGAGCGGCCCACAGAGCAGGGCGAGGAGCGAGTTTCGCCCATAGAGGAAACGGTCGCAATCCCAACTTTGGCTATGGACCCGGCTCGAACACTACAGATCGGTGCTTCCGTCAAGGAACCTTTATGAACCGAACTGGTGAGTTTCTTACTTCAAAATTTAGATATTTTTGCATGGTCCGCGACCGATATGCCCGGTATTGACCCCATTAAACAGAAGAAACACAACTTAGCCCCAGAGCGCTGGAGGGCGGTCGACGA